GTTAGTCGAAAAAAGGGAGAAACACTGAGAAACTCAACATCTGTATTTGCAGTGAACTAAAACATGCAAACACAAACACCAGCATGGTCCTTTAACTTTGGTCTTAAACCACTGTTTAGTTTTTTTTCTTAATACAGAACATGTATTTAACCAGTGAAAGGGAGCTGTTTGTTCAATTGTGACATTAACGTGTGTGATGAGTACAAACTGTCTGCATGCCTTATTTCAGTCTGAATGAGGCCAGTAATCCCAGCCTACAGAACGTAAACACGTTTTAATGTAAATCTGATGCCAAGCAAATGTGTCCAAATACAATAAAAGCAATAAATTCAGTGATTCTGTGCAGTGATGAGACTTTATGCAATGAAATCCTAGAATTTCACTTACCTTTAGTAGAGTGACCTCACAGCAGCCATGTTTTTGGTCAGGTGATGTCATTAAAATGCCCCAAAAGGCTCCAACAGTACAAACACGGCTCAGAGGTCCAGCTCAGGTGAGGCGCAGCAGACAGTCACCTGTGCCACGCCCCTAACAATGCAAACTTTAAACAGGTGAGTTATAAAAACATCGTCCCCTCTACAGGTGTTATTTTTATTAGTCCTTTATTTATCCAGGTAAAGAAATCTCATTTCCAACAGAGACCTGGCATCATGGCAACAAAAGTCAAAATACACGTAGCACTATAACATTTACAACCAATACAATATCCCACACCAACATGTGTAAAATATACAATAAAGATCAAATTAAGAGCACATTAAAAACAATCACACTGAGTAAGAGTTGTTCTCTCGTTCCTTTAACACAGACTTAAACTCTCCGAGGTAACCAAGTCGGATCATTTCAGTTCCTTCTGCAGATTTTTCCAGGAAGTAGGGGCAGCGTGTTTAAAAGCCCTTTTCCCCAATTCTGTTCTGATTTTTGGGACAATCAATTATGTAGGGAAATGATCTACAGACCAGTTTGTGTGTCAGACGCTTTTATTACTGCTGTAAAGCTTTAACATGGGAGTCTATGGGGACTGACTCACTGCTGGACATTAAAGGAACTGCAGCTGTTGGTGTTTCTTTGTTGTCAAGGAGTGTGTGTGTTCCCGCTGTTGCAGCTGCAGGCCCTTCCTCTCGTGGTTTGCAAAATAAACTCTTGTTTTCGTCTCACAGAGAGAACCAGGAGAGGCTGAAATGTTTGCTCTATACTTTGGGAAGAACTGCAGCTGTTAGAAAAGAAAGGCACAGACGAAAGTGGATTTGAAATGATTCATTTTATTAACCAGTTTTACACATCAGTGTTCACCAAAAACATTTACATTTATCTCCAGGTGCAGCATCAAATCTATCCGTGCTGATGCTTAACAAAGGAGTGGAAGTGCTTTTATTTTGAAAAAACAAACACTGCTTTTCCTTTTCTTTTTTTTAATCCACGCTGCTTTCACATCATATGGAAAAATCCAGGAAATTTAAGTTAGAATTGTTCCATATTTACTCCATGAGCCCTTTCAGTAAAAATCCCTCAGAGAGCAAAACAAACGCTGGAATCTTCCACATATCCCGACACACTTGAACGCAGCACAGTCATCAGTTGGATTTGGGCAGCCTGTAGACGTTGCCGGACATTATGAGCTGATGGTCCCTGACCTTCCTCTGCAGGAACGCCTCCAGCTCGTTCACGTCCATCTCCGTGACGACGGGTCCCGTGGCGACGAACATCCGCAGCATGGTGTGTATGCGTTCCAGTGTCATGGTGTCCAGGTTGGTGAGCATGGCCTGGACGTAGACCCAGAACAGCTGCAGAGAGAGACCCAGTGTGCTGTAAGAG